GGCCGATCGATGTTCTTATCGAGCGCCCAAGTCTGTAAAGTTCTCGCTGGGCGCCCTGCGCACGCTTAGGCAAAAAAACTCAACTTCAACAATCCGTTCAATGTTGCCTGGGCTGCCTGGTCGTTAGTCGAGCTAAGTACTTGACTTATTTGATATACGCATGGCAGCCCAGCCCAACACGACGATCCAGCGATCTAGAGACGCACACATCACTTTGAAGAGTCTCCTGTATTTAAGCTTTCTTCTGAAGTCCACCATTCGCTTCCACACAATCATCCCCGAACGGCTATACTGGACATGGCGGCGTCATCAAATGGCCTCAGTCCGCGTGCTCTGAAGAAGATAGAGGCTGTCGTGCAGAGCGGGAACGCCGCTCACCATCAGCGCTGGTCCCTCCTGGCTGACACGACTAAGTGACGGCCCACCAAAACATCCAAGCTGCAGGAAGACGCGCTTTTGTTGATCCCAGGAGGGCCATACCCACTTGGGCAAGTCGAGCCCGAGCTGGTGCCTCAGGACAGGCGTACGACCTCGTCAACACTGGCATCGCTTGTGGGTGAGGTGCGACCGTGTATCCAACGCCAGCCGCCCGTCCTCACCGCCGTCTTGCCGACAGGCGAGGGCCTGCAGGAGCACGACCGCACGCGGTTCGGTGACAGACAGTTTCCGGTGCCGCGCTGCTGGGCTCGCCAGCCCTCCCTCAAAGAAGAGGAAAGGCCATAGACAGATATATATATATATATATACACACACATACATACATATATGTTATATATATATATATATATGTATAGATTTGCGCTCCGCGCGGACTTCTTGGACCCACGCCAAGCCCCCCCCCCCCCCCGGCGGCGCCTCCGGCGCCGTCCCTGGCGCGCTCCGCGCGCCAGGAGGGGAGCCCAGCGCGGAGCGCCAAAAGTTTGTGCTTATGGCGCTTCTTCCTCTTCTTCTTCTTCTTCTTCTTCTTCTTCTTCTCCTTCTCCTTCTCCTTCTTCTTCTTCTTCGTCTGCGGCCCCCCGAGGCAGCTTCGGAGGCTGCGGCGCGGCCGAGCTGCGCGCTCCGCCCCTGCGCCGACCGACCCTGCCGCGGAGGCCGCGGCGGGGGCGCCGCGGCGGGGGCGCCCTCCTCCTCCTCCTCCTCCTCCTCCTCCTCCTCCTCCTCCTCCTCCTCCTCCTCCTCCTCCTCCTCCTCCTCCTCCTCCTCCTGGGGCCCCGCCGACGGCCGCCGCGCAGGCCCCCACGGGGCCAGCGGGCACGCCAGGGCGGCGGGCAGCCTGGAGGGCTGGGCAGGCCTCTGGGGCGCCCGCGGCCCTGGCGGCCACCGGCCCGCCCCACGGGACGGCCGCCGAGCGCGCCCGCGTCCGGCCCGCCCGCCGCTGCGGATCGGCTCCACGGCAGCGCCGGCGGCCGCGAGGATGGACAGGGGGCCCCAGCGGTCAGGCCCGCGCCCGCCGCCCCGGCGGGGCCGTGGGGCGCTGAGGCCGTGCACGAGGGGCTGGCCCAGGACGTCCAAAGTATTCCAGAGGGGGAAAGACACACAGACAGAATGAATCATCGCCTCCCAGGAAAATATATAGTGTAAACATATATATATATATGTATAGGAAACTATGGGGAAGTAGTGGTGGGAAAGACGAACACCCTAATAGTATGGGAAAATATAGGGGAAATCCTGGGATCTGTGTCTATTTGTATGTCACTGAGTCCCCTGAATGACGTTCGTCGAGTGCTGCCTCGTCGAGGCGGCGGCTTCTGTGTGTGCTTCCGCCCGGGCTCCATCGCAGAGCGGCGGCGCGGCCAGGGGTGGGCCCTCCGCGCTGCCTGCGCAGGGCAGCGCCCCGCCCGCGAAGATATGGCCTAGTGGATCTCAGAGCGCCCGAGGGAGGAGCTGGCCAGGGGAGGAGGGGGAGGAGGGGGAGGAGGAGGAGGAGGAGGAGGAGGAGGAGGAGGAGGAGGAGGAGGAGGAGGAGGAGGAGGAGGGGAGGGGGAGGGGGAGGAGGAGGGAGGGAGGGAGGAGGAGGAAGGAGGAGAGGAGGAGCAGGAGGAGGAGGAGGCGGAGGAGGAGGCGGAGGAGGAGGCAGAGGAGGAGGCAGAAGACGAGGAGGAGGAGGAGGAGGAGGAGGAGGAGGAGGAGGAGGCCGCTCCTGCCCAGCCGCTCGCCCCGCAAGCCCTGGCTCGTGTGCGATGACGGGCCCAGCAAGAAGGCCAGCCCAGCAAGAAGGCCAGCCCTGACGTTGGCCTGGGCGTTGGCCCCGAGAGGGCACCCCGCCGCGGCTCCGACCGCCAGCGGCACGACTGCCACCGCGGCAGGGTCGGCATGCGGTGGCTCGCGTGCGGCGCGCGAGCCCGAGGGCGACCGCGCCGCGACGCGGGCCCCGCACCCGAGGGCCCACCCCAGCAAGAAGGCCAGCCCTCTTCGACGGCGGGAGTCGCCGCCCGACGGTGCACTTCGGCAGGCAGGTGCACGTCGCCCGGCCGTGGTCATCCCCTGGAGTGCAGCGTGGCCTGCCGGCGCTTTCGGGGGCGCATCGGGAGCCGAGCTTCGCCCCCCTTCTGGCAGCGGTGGGCCGCCATGGATGTAAACACTGGCAGGAGGTTTGGGCCTGCGCGAGCTCCATGGGCGGTGGCGGGACGGGGTTCCCGCATATCTCCGCGCCCACGGGCCCTGCCGACCTGCGGGCCCACAGGCGCGACGACCGCCCGTGTCTGGCTCGGGTTCCCGCTCGTCCGCGCTTCCGCGCACGCGGGCGAGAAGAGCACCGAGAGCTCCTCGGCCAGCGATGCCAGCACGGGTTCAGCCGGCCCCCGCGCGCGACGCACAGAGGAGCCAACCCCGGCGACGACCGCCACGCAGATGGCCACCCATGTTACCTCCCGCCTCCTCTTACAGACATCTCCCTCCCCCCTCCCCCTGCTTCTGTTCTGCAAGCCGTAGACACGCGGACGCCTGATGCCAGAGTTACCTCCCTCCCGCCGCCGCGCGGGACGAAGCGATCAGGGACGGGGAGGCACGATGCGAGATTGAATTGGATGGGGGTGAAGGGTACCATCGCCGCAGCTGCACAGCGCTCGAGGCCCTGAAGGCGCCCGCTGAGGGACTTGACGGACCCACAGCAGTGCTGTTTTCCTTCGCCTCCGCCTCGTATGGCCACTTACTCGTCTCTTCCCTCCTCGCCTCCCTGCGCGGTGTTGCTGGGTGCCCGTCGCATCTACCCAGCAGGAGCTGTTTTCCGTCATCCCCTCGGCTCTCGGTCGGGGGAGGGGGAGGAGGAGGAGGAGGAGGAGGAGGAGGAGGAGGAGGAGGAGGAGGAGGAGGAGGAGGAGGAGGAGGAGCAGGAGCAAGGGGGAGGAGGAGGAGGAGGAGGAGGAGGAGGAGGAGGAGGAAGAGGAGAGGAGAGGAAGAGAGAAAGAGAAAGAAGGAGGAGGAGAGGAGGAGAGGAGGAGGAGGAGGAGGAGGGAGGAGGAGGAGGAGAGGGAGGAGGAGGAGGAGGAGGAGGAGGAGGAGGAGAGAGGGTGCACCTCCCCACCCCGCTGTACATTGCAAAGAGGTGGGCGGAGGGTCGAGGTCCCCAGATGCTAGCTAGCCTGCAACGACCGGCCCGCAGCTCGAAGAGCTTGAAGGAGGCGGAGGCGGAGGAAGAGCGAGAAAGGAAGAAGGGGAAGCAGAAGGGGAAGGAGGAAGGTAAGAAGGATGGCGGGGAAGGAGGAGGAGGAGGAGGAGGAGGAGGAGGAGGAAGAGGAGAGGGCGGGGAAGGCGGAGAGGAAGGAGGAGGGAGGGCAGGAAGCGGAGGGGGGGAGGGGCGGGGGGAAGATCAGCGGCAGCAAGACGCCGACGGTCGAGCGGCCACACCGACAAGGGCTCCTCCTCGCCGGCTCTGGGCGGGGGGGGGATCGGGCGAGGGGTAGTAATGGGGGGTGACCTACATGGGGTGTGAAGAAAGAAAGGCCCTGTAGGGCCCCTTTCTTCACCCCAGATTTAGAACACCCCTAGCTACCACGCGCCCGAGGGGAGGCATGGCGCGGCCGTGGATCCTCCGCGGACCGGACCGCGCCCTCGAGAGCAGCACGGATCGCGACGAGCCCTCTGGTGCACGGCAGCACGAGCCCGGTGGCTGGGGCACGCGCGCGGGCAGCTGAGATCGCCTCCCCCCGCCTGGCCGCGCGCCGTGCGCCGCTGCTCGGCCAGGGAGTTCTCCCCAGCCGCGGTCGCTGCGGGCCGTGAGCCCGCTGGACCGCCCACCCTCAGCGACCTCGGCAACACCTTGAGTAGGGCCGAGGATCAGAGAGCGCCTACCTCTGCAGGACCACCAAAAGAGGGACGTCAAGGCGGTCAAACGCTTCGCCGGCGAAGCCGACGAGGGTGTGCACAGTCCAACCGTTCGATTATGTTCACAGTGTTGGCTTGACGCCGGGTGTGGTGCATCAATTTCAGCTTGACCGAGCAGGTTGGTTGCGTCCCTTAACGTCCGTTTGGGGTCTTCTGCAGACCTGACCCCCCAGCCCTACTCAAGCCACATCGAAGAGTCACCTGCCTCCTCTCCTCTCTCCTCCCTCTCCTGGTAGCGGAGGGAATGGTAGCAGCAGGGACGATGAGAGAGATCCAAACATTCTGGACCGCCTTTGCACGCAGCTTGGCTGCCGAGCAACGCGCGCGCTCTCTGACGCTTGTGCCGGCGATAGCATTCGGCCTGATGTCGCCGTGGGAAGTCTGGCATTCGGCCCGGGAGGATTATGGCGCCCATCACAGACCGCCGCGCGATCTCTGCTAGTGCGTGCAGCGGCGGTCTCACACAGAGCGACGTCGGCAACACCGAAGAGTTCACCTGGCCGAGACGACATGCGCCTTCCACGTGCGCAGTGCTTCCCACACAAAAGGACGCCAGCTGTTCAACGTCAGGCCGTCGAGGCAGGGGCCACATCGCCCCATGGCCCCCGTTGCTCCGATTGTGCCGCCGTGCAGAACTTCAATGCACCCCCCCTGTGACCAGCACTGGCGAACCTGGAGTTTGGAGTTGTTTGGCGGCCACTGCTGACCGGCGCACGACCTGCTCTGGCGTGCGCACCGGCTTGCGCCCTGCAAGGCGGCAGACTCACACGGAGCGACGTCGGCAGCACCGAGGAGCCACCAGGCCGTGGGAGAGAGTGCTTCCACCTTCCTCGTAACCGCGAGTCTGCGAAACGCCCGCGCTGATGAGCTCGGGGTGGCAGTGCGCAACGCGCCGTCTGGACCCCCCCAAAGTTCGGGAGTGGCAGGCGGCTGCAAATCCAGGACAAACGTGCAGACCGCCCCCGCTGCTGAGGCTTGACGGGCAGGGTGGCACCTGGATAATTACCCCCACCTTGGAGCTCATTGCAGAGGACGATTGCCAAGTGAAGATTTCAGGAACATTGGGTATGCACGGCGTGCCACCTGTGGCCAGGCAGTCAGCCATCCGGTCAATGTGCCAGCTAGCCCGTCCTCCAACCAGCCAGCCCGTGGGCCAGTCGATCGGCGTTGGGCGCGCGCGAGGCGAACGAACCAAGGCATGACGGGCACGAGGGGGAGGGGGGAGCGTGGTCCAGGCTGAAGGGCGGGAGGCCTTGGCATCGCTCGGACGCGTGCATGTTTTCTCGGCGAGGACCATCAAGGAGCATCTTGGATCATCTTGCGAAGTAATAAGCACACGAAGCCGAGAAATGCACAAGGAATGGACGTCCGAGCGACGGCGAGGAGGCTCGATTGCTTTTGTGTGCCCCCGCTTCTTTCTGCGGGACCTCCCCTGACGAGGCCCCTGTGATGCCCAGGGCATCAGACACCACCAGGCATGAGCCGTCGTGCTCCCTGGCCAGCCTTGTCAGCACCCAAGGGACCCAGACATGCGATGTCCTGATTTTTTCAATACGGGGTTCCTGGAAGTCCCGACCCATTCCCCGGGACTGGTTTTCATCCTGAGTCATCCTTTGACGGTCCCGAGGCCCGGCGAGGGCCCCCCGAGGCCGAAACTAGCCAAAAAAATCCCATTCAGAATTTCTTACGGCGCGATCATGTCTGGGGATCGGACTTGGAGGGCGGGAAGTTCTGGAGAAGCTGTGCAGGCTCGACGATCGGGGCGAGCCTCCTCCTCCTCCTCCTCCTCCTCCTGAGGACTACCTCGAGCCGGTCATGGACCAGGCCGATTGCGGGAGCTGCTATGCGGCCTCCAGCATGCGCATGCTGACCTCGCGGCACAAGATCCGGCAGAACGACACCGAGGCCCACTGTCGAATGCTGCTGCTCAGGAGGATATCTACCTAGACATGAGCGCGTCGCAATAATTCTGGACGGAGATTTTTCGCTATTTTCGGCCCCTGGGGGCCCTCGCCGGGCCCCGGGACCGTGAAGAAACGACGCAGGACGAAAAACTGGCCCCGGGGAAAGGGTCGGGACTTCCGGGTACGCCGTCCTGAAAAAAATAGGACGTCGCATGTCTGGGTACCCCATGTCTTGGGACGCGGAGTGGAATATTTGGAGACTGGGAAAATTCGGAGTTGGGCCGTTGCGGGGAAGGGTGTCTCTCAACCTTTGACAGCCCACGCGTGCTGGGTTGATAACGGTTTGGTCCCCCCGTTTTCATTCCCTCTGATTCGTCTCAGCTTGCTACCCCAGTTGGTCCAGACGTAAGGACCGCGGGCGTACGCGCTCCATTCGAGGCCCTGCCGTGGTCCATCAATTTCCCGCTGTTCTGCTCGGAGTACAACCAGGGCTGCAAGGGCGGCTACGGGATCCTCACGTCGAAGTGGTCGCGCGACGTTGGTCTGCTGCCCGCCAACTGCATGCGCTACAACACAGCGGGCTCCTGCAAGCTGGAGTGTGATTTGTCTTCGCTGAAGGTCAGGACAGCTCCCGGGGCCCGAGCCCTGAACTCAGATGGCAGTCTTCTCCATACAGCCTCGCCCAGGCAAAGGAAATATAGGTTCTGGGATGGGAGCGAAGACATGTCGACATGTTATCATCGGATCGGGATCCTAGGCAGACATGAGGTACCTGATTATCAGCAAACCCGTGGAAATGCTCGACGCCTCGCATATCCCCACGAGCCCATCCAAAACCAATTCGCAGACCTTTGACCACGGCAGTGTAGGAGCACATCTTGGAAAGAGTGGGCGAACGGCTTTACTTTTTCCTGGGGTGTGCGTCCGTCTCGGGATTGCTGCAGAAGCTAGAATAAGGACTTTGAACAGAGAGCTAGTAGGGAATTTGTTAGCGAGGAGTTGGTCGGGTGAGTTGGTCAGAGGTCGTTGCAGCATGAACGCGTAAAAACTGCAATGGCTACGGGCGTAGCCATTTCGGGTCCAGCTCACTCCCAGCACCTTTCATGGAGCCCCCGTTCCCTCTCAGTCGTTGCTGCGAGGGGCTACATAGTGAAGCAAGCGAGAGAGAGAGAGAAGGGTGGCCGTCAAAACGACGCTCGATATTTGGCCAAGCGCACCCCCGAGTCGACCGTAAAGGCTTGTTCAGAGCTCGCGGTGGATGGTCAAACTGAAGCTCGAGTTAGTCCGAGCAGCCCCGAACCATGGCCAACCTGGGAATCATTGGGAGCCTATTGAACGCTTCTTGCGGATGTGTTGAGGCCCTCCTGGGTCGATCCACGAGATCATCGATAAGATTGGAGGGCTAAATAATGGTCCCCAGTCAGAGTCTTAGAATCGCATTTTGGGACCCTCTTGGGACTTCTTTAGTGTGGTCTTGGAGACACTGACGGGTGCATTTGGGCCCTTCTTGGGGCTATCTCGGGCCATCGTGAAGTCACCTTGAGGCTCCTTAGAAGCCCATCGGAGTCGAAAACGCAAGAAGACGCAAACCGGCGAAAAACTCTAAGGTTTTAGACGGTTGGGGGGCGTCCAGGAGGGCTCCGAGGCCACCGTGAGTCATCTTGGAGGCTTCGGGGTGCCTCTTCGAGGCACATTGAAGGCCACCATGATTGACTGGGGCCATCCTGGAGGCCACCTTGGGCTACATAGGGCCATCTTGCAGCCATCAAAGACCATCTTGGACATTTTTGTCTCTCGCGGCCCCCCCTGTCCAGAACCCTGGGAGAGAGACTCCCCCCGATAGAACAGGTCAGCCCCTCCCAGTCGCCCGGCGCCACGGGACTGGCGAGACAGCGCCTTCCAGACGGACCTCCTCTGCGGCCTTCTCGATGGCTCACCTGGTTTCCAGAACTACAAAGATGACTCTGGATAGCTTCCTCGACGGCAAATGTTGGTCTCCGAGATGACCTAGATGGTCCACAATAGCATCGAAGTTGACCCAAGATTGTCTTGCCACGGTCCAAGAAGGCCTCAAGACGGCCCAAGGGAAACCCCCAAGAGGTACCGAAGAGGCCAGAAGCAGTTATGTTCATAAAGTGGCTAGGACGATTCGATAATTGCACGTTCGGGCTTCTGGCTTCCAAGGCCAAGATTACCCCAAGATGATCCATAGGAGCCCCAAAACGGTACCAAGATGGTCCCAAGAGGGCCCCAGAAAGATTATTCGAGATGGTCCCCAGAAAGACGACTCGAGATGGTGGCCAGACGTTTGTTATCCGTTTTGTTTTCGTTTTTGTTCCTGATTTGCTCTACTTGTTTTCCTGTACCTCCCTCCCAAACGAAAAAAAAAAAAAAAGACAGCCGAAGTCCAGCAAAACAGCGTTTAGGTCCAGCCTTGCCCCCAATCGCACCAAAGGCCCCAAGACAAGCCTGGGAAGCGCGTTCGCCTTTGATGTGGTTTAGTGTCGGGTGTGGATCAACTTCGGGTCTCGCTTCATGTGGCTCGTGATACAAGCGCTACGCGCACGAGCTAAGAGGGGCAGCATTCAAACACGTGGATGTTCCTCAAACAGTGCTTGCACTTGGGATTCTAAGTTCTTTTCTCATGAGCTGGACGGGGTTGTCGGTCCGGCGCGCTTGTTGTAGCCCGTCGCTGCCCATCGCCGCCGTCCGTCGTTGCGGCTGCTGGGCCTGGTCGTCGGTCGCCGCGCTTGTTGTCGTCCGTCGCCGCCTATCGTCGCCGTCCGTTGCCGCTGCTAGTGCGCCTGGTTGTCGGTCGCCGCGCTTGTTGTCGCCCGTCGCCGCGCTCGGTATCGCCCGTCGCCGCCTGTCGCCGCCATCCGGTCGACGCTGCTACCGGGCCTGGTTGTCGGTCGCCGCGCTTGTTTTCGCCCGTCGCCGCCGCACCAAATGTACAGCACCACATCGACTGCACAACTCAGATTGCACCACATGGACTCTCCTTTCTAAATGGGTATTAGGATCTACCCCCCCTGGAATTAACGGGCCACTTTTTCGTATTGAAATATACATGTGATGTTGTCCCATCGTCCACCTAAATATGAGTTCGCACCATTCCAGCCAAGCCCGTAATGACCCCCCCCCTCATCCTCTGGAAAAAAGTACTATGCGCGCTCACTCGTTGATCCAAAACCTGCAAGATGCAAGAACCTTCGCAAAAATAAGACGAAGTGCACACGCGCGCGTCATCTCGCGCGCATTTCGGAATCCCATCGGCCGTTGTTCAACATGCCCGTTAAACTCTGCCAAACGAGCCTCTCTCGCCGCATGTCGAAATCATTCGAACGTCCTTGCGCGCGTGATGAGAGTGGCACGGACCGTGTCAAATAATACCTTGCGGGCCAGTCTCCCGCGCCAGCCGCGCGCGCATGTCGAATCCCTTCCAAAATGTTCATCGTCGATGCGAGGACAGCGTCATCGTCGTCGGCCTGATCAGCATCGGCGCCGTCACTGGCCGTGCCGCCGTCGCTGTCATCATCGCAACCAGCATCGTTACTAACATCTTCTTGTCTACCGTCGTCGACGTTGCCATGATACCGCGCCCGCCCAAGTCGCCGACTCGCTCTGAAGTGCCCGTTGGGAAGTGCCCAGCGGTCAGCGCCACCGCGGCCGCGTCGGACGCGCCAAACTAGCTGACCGCCGCTGCGCGCCAGCATGCGCGGGCTAGCGCGGCCGCAGAGATACACCAGCCAACACCAAGCACTCATCGCAATTGCCGCCGCGTGAGTTTTGCAGACCATGTTGCAGGTGGGTGGGTGGAAAGATTGCGCGAGTAGTGGAGTTTACATCTCACCACGAGCTGAACTTATTTTCTTTTCTAAATAGAGAATAGAATCGAACCCCCCCCAGATGATCGATGCGATTCCGCCACATCGTCCATCCGAAATATAAATCCGTACCATCCCAGCCGAGCCGGTATCCGCCCCCCCCCCCCCCACCATCCTCTGCAAAATGGACTATGCGCGAACATTCTGTCATCAGAAATATCAGTTCTCCAAAATCCTTGACACAAATGAGACGAAGTGCACACGCGCGCGCTGGCGCGTGCGCATGCCGAAATCAATAAACTAAAAGCACACATCGTTTTCATTACAATTTGAAAAACCGAGTGTTCAAACAAACAATGAGTTCGCAACACGGAACTTCAAATAAAACTTGCGCGTTTTGTCGAATTCTTACGAAAGCTATAGGTTGTTCAACATGCTCATACAATGCTACCAAGCGGGCTTCGCGCGCGCATGCCGAAATTGTTCGAACGCCCTTGCGCGAGTGCCGTCGCGAGAGTCCGTCTTGCAAAAAATAAGACGAAGTGCACACGCGCGCGTCGTCGCGCGCGCATGCCGACATCCGTCAAAAACCGTCGGTGTTATAACGATTTCAAAATTGCGTGTCCAAAAAAATATGTCAGTTACTCGGCGCGGAGATCCCCATATGTGCAATGGCATGCTTCGGCGGAAGGCACTGTTCTTTTCAATATCTGAGTGTCAGCGAATTCGTGTGGAAGACGAAGCCGAGAGAGACGCCGACGATTACGACGATTTTAACTAGTTATTTCCTCTTGTTGATCCTGCTCCTTTTCCTCCTCATTGTCCTCCTCCTCCTCTTGCTCCTTCTTTTCCGTTGAACACCCATCAGGGCGCCGAAAACTGCTCCGAACGAGAAGGACGTTGAGCACCCAAACAGGCAAACCGCTTGAGACATCCCCCAATATGGGTGCGAACGGGCCCATGAGATACCCGCTGGCGGCCCACCCTTGGGAGTGCTGAAACCAGCGCCTCGCCTGAGACATCCTCAGAAACTGTTCCGAAAGAGAAGGACGTTGAGCACCCAAACGGGCAAACCGCCTGCGACATTCCCCCAATCTGGGCGCGAACGGGCCCGAGAGATACCCCCTGGCGCGCCCCCTCTTTGGGAGTGATGCAGCCAGCACCTCGCTTGAGACTCCTTCGGAAACTGCTACGCAAAAAGAAGGCTGTTGAGCACCCAAACAGGCAAACCGCCTGGGACATCCTCCCAATCTGGGCGCGAACGGGCCCTTGGCGGCCCCCCTTGGGAGTGCTGAAACCAGCGCCTCGCCTGAGACATCCATTGAAACTACTACGAAAGAGAAGGACGCTGGGCACCCAAACAGGCAAGCCGCTTGAGACATCCTCCCAATCTGGGTGGGAACGGGCCCGTGAGATACCCCCTGGCGCCCCCGTGTTGAGAGCGTTGAAACCAGCGCTTCGCCTGAGACATCCTCGGAAACTGCTCCGAAAGAGAAGGATGTTGAGCACCCAAACAGGCAGGCCGATTCAGAGATCACCCCAACCTGGGCGCGAACGGGCCCGTGGGATACCCTCTGACGCCCCCCCCCCTCCCCTGGGAGTGCTGAAAACGCACCTCGCCTGAGACATTCTCGGAAACTGCTCCGAGAGAGAATCATGTTGAGCACCGAGACAGGCAACCGCTTGAGACATCCCCCCAATCTGGGCGCGAACGGGCCCGTGACATACCCCTTGGCGACCCCCCCTTGGGAGTGTTGAAACCAGCGCTTCGCCCGAGACATCCTCAGAAACTGCTCCGAAAGAGAAGGATGTTGAGCACCCAAACAGGCAGGCCGATTCAGAGATCACCCCAACCTGGGCGCGAACGGGCCCGTGGGATACCCTCTGACGCCCCCCCCCCTCCCCTGGGAGTGCTGAAAACGCACCTCGCCTGAGACATTCTCGGAAACTGCTCCGAGAGAGAATCATGTTGAGCACCGAGACAGGCAACCGCTTGAGACATCCCCCCCAATCTGGGCGCGAACGGGCCCGTGAGATACCCCTTGGCGCCCCCCTTTGGGAGTGCTGAAACCAGCGCTTCGCCTGAGACATCCTCTGAAACTATTCCGAAAGAGAAGGCTGTTGAGCACCCAAATAGGCAAACCGCCTGAGACATCCCCCAATATGGGCGCGAACGGGCCCATGAGGTACCCCCTGGCGGCCACCCCTTGGGAGTGCTGAAACCAGCGCCTCGCCAGAGACATCATCACAACGTGCGTTTGTGTCCGAGCGTGGAAGTGGTGTGACTGAGTCTGAGCGAGGAAGAGCGAGGCAGAGATTGAGTGAGTCTCAGTGTGAGTGAGTCTGGGTGTGAGTGTGTCAGAGTATGGGTCTGATTGAGTGTGAGTGTGTGCGTGAGTGACCTGAGTATGATTAACCTTGAGCCTGAGAAGCGACTCGAAGCGCGAGTCATTCTGTATATGAGTGATCACGAGCATGAGAAAACTAAGTATCAGTACTCTCAGGGGGAGAGCATCTGAGTATGAGTGAGTCTGAATAGAAGTGAGTCTGCATGTTGGTGAGTCAGAGAATGATGATCTGAGGGTGGGAGCTGTGTTCTCGTTCTCCGCGTGGTCAAAGTAATTCTTCACTGCGTGGAGCTCCCCATATGTGCATCTATTGGCATGGACCTGTCCGCCGTGAGTGTCTAGGCGCAAGAGTTTTCGAATGTAAGTGGGCTGGAATTGTGACGGCGTGGTCATGAACCCAACTGCGAATGAATTGGAGTGTGAATGGGTCTCAGTATTACGAGCGCGTCTCTGCGCATGAGCCTGGGGCCCCCTAGGGCCTCCTGAAACCTCCTGGGGCTTCCAGGGTCTTCCAGGAGCCTCGGGGCCTCCTGGAGCCTCCTGGGACCTCCTAGGGAGGAATCGTGCCCCAGGAGAGGCCCAATATATAGGAACAGACGTACATAAACATTGCGGATCGGAGCCGCAGGAGAAGGACAATCTATAGGAACACACCAGGGGAGGCCCAATCTATAGGAACATACGTAAAACGTTTAGGATTGTATACACAGGAGAAGGACAATATATATATATAGAAACATACGAATAACATCAAGGATTCGTGCTCCAGGTGAGGCTCACTCTATAGCAGCATACGTAAAACACATGGGATTGGAGCCATTCCTGTTGCCTTTTTGGGGCCTCCTGCTCCTGGGGCCTCTCGGGGCCTCCTGTTGCCGTCTGGGGCCTCCTGAGGCCTCGTGGAGCTTCTTGGGGCCTCCTGGAGCCTCTTGGGACATCCTGTGGCCTCTTGAATCTTCCTGTGGCCTCCTGATGCCTCCTGGGACCTCATGTGGCCTCCTGGGCTTCCTGGAGCCTGCTGGAGTCTCCTGTGGCATCCTGGGGAGAATATGTGCCCACAAATCTGGCCACCAAAACAGGCAAACCGGTCGTGACATCCTCAAAATTTGGCCCCCCTGGGGGCGAAAATGAGCGCCTTGCTCGAGACATCCTCCAAATCTGTTCCGACAGCGGAGGGGGGCTCCCGCCTGAGACTTCCTCGCGATTCATTCACGGACGAAGCTCCCTTTTGGTCGATAAACATGATGGGACGGTGACAGTGATAAATGTGAGATGATGGTGATGGTGATGGTGAGTGATGATGAGTTGATGAAGGGGATGGTGAGTGATTCTGATAAAAACAGTGATGATGTTGGACGGTGAAGATGGTGAGTGATGAGGATGATGATGACGATTATGTCGGATGGTTTATGATGGTGATGGTGATGCTGATGTCTCAATGATGAAGGTCATGATGCTGATGGTGATAGTGGTGAGTGTGCAAGCGAATGTGAGCGACGTTGGTGCTGGTCATAGTGATGGTGATGTGAAGGAGCGAATGTGGGATGATGACGCGGTTCATGACGATAATACGATAACGGACGATGCCATGATGATTATAAGTGAGTGGGTGATGAGCGGATGTGAATGCGTGAGTGAGAGTGAGTGTGAATGGTTGATGGTGGCGGTGATTGCCGATGATCATGATGGGACCATGACATGTTAATGAACGAGTGAGTGATGAATAAATGAGCGAGAGAGCGAGCGGGCGATCATGATGATCGGTGATCATGATGGGATGATGATGACAGGGGGAACGGGGTGAGGTGTAAGGTGAGGTTCATGCGCGGCGGTGTGCAGAGAAAACAAGAGCCCCACTTAGGATGTGGGGAAAAAGACCACCCGAGCGCGTCTTCGTGCGCAGATGCCGATAGTAGGTCTGCCAGCTCTTCAAAGAGTATGTGTCGTAAGGATATCAAGGTCAACTTTCTCGAAACGCATTGGAATAAAAGGTTTCAGCATGACGTTTCACCGAAATTTGCGCGCGCGTTCTTGAAGATTCATGCGTCACCCTTGGGCACGTACAACATGTTCATCACATGCGACCAAGTAGGCACCTCGCGCGCGCGCATGCCGAAATCATTCGAACAACCTTGCGCGTTTGCTGTGGGGACGCTCCCTGTCAAATGATACCATGCGAGCCACTCTCCCTCGTCAGCCGCGACCGCACGCCGAGACTCTTCCAAAACCTTCATCACCGACACGTGGACACCATCATCGTCAACGGCGAAATCAGCATCGGCGCCATCTTTGGCCTTGCCGTCGTCGCCTTCATCGTCGTCACCAGCATCGCTACTATCATGGTCGTGTGTGCCAGTGTCGACGTCGCCATGATACCGAGCCCGAACGAGTCACCTACTCGCACTGAGGTGCCCGCGCATTAGCGCGGCCTGCGCGACGCGCTTGGAAGCCCCCAGCGGTCAGCGCCACCGTGGCCGCGTCGATCGCGCCTGCCTAGCTGGCCGCTGTGCGCGCGAGCCTGCGTGCGCTAGCGCGGCCGCAGAGAGGTGCCAGCCAGCGCCAAGCAGTCATCGTAATCGCCGCCGCATGTGCTGTGCAAACCACGTTGCGGGTGGGTGGGTGGGTGGGAGGATTGCGCGAGCAGTGGAGATGAGAAATCATGGCGAACAAAATCTAATTTGCGCCATTTCGATTGCACAACATAGACTGCACCTCATTGGGCGCTAGAAACATGCTCGCCGTCCGCGCTGCCTGACATTGCTACGTTTCCTAAGAATAGAACATGTTTGATCTTCGTCACATGTGGAAGCCATGTCGAGGCGACGCCAGCGTCTAAGGTTTTGCAGGCGGAGGTCATCACACAAGGTTTCTGTGACAAGCTGTTTTGATGGGAGTATGGGACTCTTGATGAAGAACGGGGTTCTCGAAGGGTTGGTGCGGTCTGGTGCGGCCACCGCGGAGGATCGCACGCGGCATTGGCGGGACTGCTGGAGTGGAAAAGGTACGATCCTTGATAGATAACGGGGCATTATGATGGCTGACGCTTTCTGGCACGTCCTCCCTGCAGGGGCAAAAGGTACCGGTAGGACTGGTGGAGTGGAAAGGGTTCTGTGTTTGATAAACGTCCAGCTGCTCCAATGGCTGGCCCGGTTTGGCGCGGCCCCCTTTGAGGGGCGAGCGGTGCCGAGGTACTGGGTGGGAGGCACGCGGCATAATTGCGTTGAGTGCACAAGCGCTCGGCGTGGCAGTAGGGAGGCACCCCAGGCGTTCCACGCGGATTCGTGCAGCACAGATGCATGGATGCCAGGAGGGGGTGGGGCTCGTGCAGTGGCCCGGTTGGAGGAGGAGGAGGAGGAGGAAGAAGAAAGTGAGGAGGAGCGGGAGATGATCTGAGGAAGAAGAACCTTACGCAGGATTTGGGGAATTGCCAGTAAGACCATGCCTTCGGATTTTGAAGTCCATGCAAGACCGAATTGGCACCCGCATCAGCACATGTCGTTGCGCGAATGCCGCTGCGTCTACGCGTGCGTCTATGTGCGAACCACCCTGCGTGGCTAGGCGAAGCCGTGAGGCCTTGCGACGTGGGGAAAGGAGAGGGATAAAACCCTTCCCACAAGAGGAAGAAGGGGGATGGAAGAGCTGATACCCCAAAGAGCTGATGGCGTTTGCAATTCCAGGGCAGAATATGTCAAATGATGGTTCCTCGTCCATGTGATGGACAGTAACTAGGGTTTCCCCCTCTTGATGCCCAATGAGCCCACTAGGCAGAGGGATCAGGATTGGGGCCCCATGCTTCCTCTGGGAAAGGGGAAGCGGTTCCGCGCTGCCAACCATCGCTACATCGGCTCCTGGTACGGTAACGCGAGCCTCGACGAGATGAAGTCAGAGTTGTTTCACAACGGCCCTTTTGTCGTTGGCATCGAGCCTGCGGAAGACTTTATGTTCTACTCCGAGGGCATATACAAATCTGCAGCCTCTGCGAAAGCACCGAGTGCAGGCCAAGAGTGGGAGCAAGTGGACCACGCCGTTCTGGTAGTGGGCTGGGGCGTGGAGAACGGTCAGAAGTACTGGAGGGTTCAGAATAGTTGGGGACCAGATTGGGGCGAGGACGGCTTCTTCCGCATCGCAATGGGCACGAACGAGGCAGGGATTGAGTCCATCCCCGAGGTTGCCGAGGTCATCGAGGACGAGCAGTCCGGTGCCCAGGTCGAGGCATTCTTCGCCCAAGTCTCTGCCGCCATTGCTAAGCCAAAAGCAGCCGCCAGGTGATTGCGCACCACGGACTTCCAGCCAGTGCAAAGAACGCCCAGCTGCGTCTCTCGCTCGCCATTAGTTGCGAGGGTGACGCGCTCTACGGCTTTCAGCCGGTGCAATATCAATTCGATTGCAATTCGATATTACGATACTCGATATTTCGATACCCCTGGCTTGTCTCGAAAGGAGAGACTGACGCGCCCTGCAAGCAGGTGATCCAGCGCCGCGCTAGGCAGCAGATAAGCGCAGGCAAAGGTAGACTGCACTAGATTTCTGCGGTACGCCGAGCGGGAAGGCCCTGCCTGGAGGGCGCAAGACATGAACCAATGGATTTGCGTTGGAAAGCCCAGATGTTGTCAAGAGGCTAAAAGTCGGTGATGAGCGCCTTATTTTTAAGTCGGGCACGTCCCTCTACAGAAGGAGTATATTCAAAAAAAGTATGGGGACGATCTGTTCATTATGTTTCTACTATTTGTGAGCATGTTTGACTATTTTTCGTTTTTCGTCAAATGGGTGGACACGCCCGACCTAAGGCTGAAAGTCGGTGATGAGCGCCTTATATTTGTTTGGCATGCGGCTTCTTTGCGCAGGCCTGGGCGCAGCGCGAGTGCGCGCGACATTTGTTGGGCACGCCTCCCTTCGCGTCTCCCCTCCCACCCCTTCTCTGCCTAGCCCTCCCCCCCCTCCGCTAGCCCCTCTGGACCTCCCCCTGCCCGGCCTCCTCTCCTCCTCCTCTTCCTTCTCTTCCCCCTCCTCTCCCTCCTCCTCCTCCTCCCCTCCTCCTCCTCCTCCTCCTCCTCCTCCTCCTCCTCCTCCTCCTCCTCCTCCTCCTCCTCCTCCTCCTCCTATTCCTCCTCTCCTCCTACCCCGCCTCATCATTCCTTTCTTCCCTGCGCGAGGGGGGGGGGGTCCGAAAGCACCCGGGGGGCAATCACGCCCGACTTGGACAGCGGAGGCAGCCACTGGAGGGCAGAAAAAAGCCAGACTGCAGCAGCGCAGAACCGCCTGCAGGACCTTCCCGCATCCCATTTGCACGGGTGAGCTGGACGTGCACGTGCAGAGAGTTGTGCGGCACGGGGCAACCCACACCGCAGGCACAGCGGGCCAGCAAGCAGCAAGTGCGTAAGAAACGGCATCCGCTCACCCGAGTCCTCAGGCAAAGGAGTTTGTTGCACGGGCAGAGTCCCAGGTCTCCCCAGTCACCTGTCGGATGCGGAGCAGCCCCGACTCGCCTGAAGCCATACCCTGGCGATCTCCTGGAGGCCCGTCCAGGAGACGGGACTCGGCAAAGCCCGCCCCGCGGGGCCAGCCTCGTCCCTCCACCGGTCGCCTTCTCCCCACCTGCGCGATGCTCGGAGGTGCCGGCTGGCCGCGCGGCAGGCGGCTGGCTTTGCCGCGCCCCGAGCGCCGGGCGCAGCCCTGCGGCCATGCGAGCATTTGCCGCTCCGGGACCTCTTCCTCCTTCTCCTCCTCCTCCTCCTCCTCCTCCTCCTCCTCCTCCTCCTCCTCTTCCTCCTCCTCCTCCTCCTCCTCCTCCTCCTCCTCCTCCTCCTCCTCCTCCTCCTCCTCCTCCTCCTCCTTCTCCTCCTCCTCCTCCTCCTCCTCCTCCTCCTCCTCCTCCTCCTCCTCCGTCGGGCCCTCGTGGCGTCCCCCTGCGGTCCCGCACAGCCACTCGGATGGCCCCAAAGGGATCCCGAGGGCGCCCCCAAAAGGCCCCGAGAGGGCCAGAGTACGGCGTGCAGCTGCACACTGGATTCTGGAGCCTTTCGAGCCCCAATCGGGGTCCCTTTCGAGCCTCTCTCTGGAGTCTTCCGAGCCCCAATCGGTGGCCCGAGGGGGCGAGAGGGCCACGTGAAGACCCAGAATGGGCCCGAAGTACGGTATGCAATTGCACGCTGGTTTCGGGGCCTCTCGACGGCGTCCTTGGAACCTTCTCCTGGGTTTCTCTGGACCCCAGCGGGGTGGGGCCGCGGAGGACCCTCGTCGGGTCCTTCCAGACTCCAGTGGGTCCCTGGAGGGCTCCTGGAGGGCCTCAGTGGGCCCAACACACGACGTGCAACTGCGCTCCGTGTGTGGGCGATGCCTGGCCCCCCCGGACTCCCCCGTTCCCGTCCCTTCGCCTCTGCTTCTTCTTCCATCTGTTCGGTTGAGCTTGCGAATCTGTATGCTCCTCCTTCTCCTCCTGCTTCTCCTCCTCCTCCTCCTCCTCCTCCACTTGCTCCTGTGTGGAGTCGCGGTGTCCGCCTGCCGGACCAATCGTGACAAAGGATATGCGACGCCGACGCCCCAGACCATTTCGTGTCGTCCTTGCCCCCTACCACGTCCCCCATCCCTGGCGGCGCCCACCTGCCGACGGCACAGAGTGCCTCCGACAGTGGAGCTCCAGACCGTTCGTTCAGAGCTGGGATGATTCCCGATCCCCGCCGAAGGATTTGGAATCCTACCCCCAAGTATGGCCGAAGCCTGTAAGCGGGATCACTGGATGGACTATCTACATGTCCCTCACGGCCGAAGGCACGGAGGAGGGGCATGTGGACATGACCCTTCCCGCACTGCTGCCTGCCGCTCGTCAGACTTTTGAGCCATGGCGGGCGCGGGCACTCGGCGCGCATCGGCGGCCTCCGCCGAGCCGCTCGCGCCTGGGCGCGACCGTGGCGGCCGCCGAGCCGGGCCGGGCCAGGCCGCCAGGCCCTGGGGGAACACGCCTTTGCCCGCCGGGCCCGCCGGCACGGCCGCCGCCCGCGGGCACGCGGCCAGCACGCCCTGGCCACGCCCGGCGCACGCCCTCGCCGGCGTGAGGGGCCAGGTGGCAGCGCGCTTCCCCGCAGACCAGCGGCCCTGGCGGGCCTCGGACGCCCTGCGGGGTCCCGCCCAGCAGCGCCCTCGTCGCGCACGCGCAGAGCTCGCCGTGGCCCCCGCCGCGACGCTCCACGTGTCCGCCGGGGAGCCGTGCCGGCGGGCGCGGGGCTCCAGCGCCGCCCGGGGCCGCAGCCGGAGCTGGCCCCCAGCGATGGCCGCCGTGCCCGGGCCGACGCCCCCAGCACAACAGCGGCCACGGGCCCGCCGCGCTGGCCACGCCCACGTGCGCCGCGCCAGAGGGCCTCGTCGACGCCGGGGGCAGCATCGCGATCAGTGACCCTGTCCAGCACTGGGCCGGTGCATGGCGCTCCAGGGAGGCCCTGCCCCCGCGAGCGGGACCGCCCCGAGCGGTCAGCGCTCCCCGACGGGCGCCGGCCTCACCGTGGCGCAGGCCGCTGGCCGATGCGCGCTGCTAGAATCCTCGAGCCTTCTTTCGGTGGCGAGGGCGACGCTTTCCGATGGGTCCGTCGCGGGCCAGTCCATCTGCCGCTACATCCAGCGTGCATACAGTAGGCACACGAAGTAAGCAAGTGGCCTGTGATCGGGTGCCCCACGAGACGTTGTTACCCCCTGGTCGACGAAGGATGTGCCCCCCTGAGTTTTCCTCGTATGAGCTCCCTGCAGGTACGCTGCGGACACATGGTTCGGGGCCCTGGCGTGGTGGGAGACTGTCTTGAACGACTGCCTGGCACCAGTAGAGGCGTCACCGCCCGTGGCAAGGCGCTGATTATAGCGAGGCGACGGCGACGTATTCGATCTCGAGGTCTCTTCTACGCATGGGCCAAACATTAGCGCGAGAGCACCCGCGCTGATGGCCACTGCACTCCCGTGGCGGCCCTGACAGGCCCTGCGGCTGGCAGCGGCCCTCGCCCTGACCCCACGGCGGCGGCATCCCCTCCCGCGGCCAGGCGAAGCGCCCGCGCCATGCAGCAGAGGGAGCCCGGCCAAGGCCGTCGGGCACTGCTGCCCCTCGCGCGCTGGCGAGGGGCCCGGGGCCGCGCCGCGCAGTGGGGGCTGCAGGCAATGCCGCCGGGCGAGCACGGCCATCGGCGGCTACAGGGGGCGTATCGCCCAGGGGGGCGGGTCCTCGGAAGCTGGCGCTCACGCGTCTCGTTCCCCTCCGCCTTTCGCCCTCCTCTGTCCCAGCGTTCTCTCTCCGCCGGCCCCCCTGCGGAGCGGGCACTCCTGGCAGTCCGACGCTTCCCTCGCTGGCCTGCGCGGCAGTCTTGGTTCGCACGCCGGCGAGCCCGCCAGCCCCGGTGGGCGTGCGAGAAGCCGGTGAGACCTCACGGCGGGCGGTGCTCCAGCGGCATTCGTGCCTCTTGCACCCCCGCGGCGTCGCCCACAGGCAGCGCGTGCTTTCAGGCAGCCGCGGGGTGCTCTTTGCCTTTTCCCAGGGACTTGCGGCGAGGCCGCAGGCCCGAGCGGCCCTTGGGCAGCCCGCGGGCCCACAGCTGGGGCGGCGTCCCCCTGGCGCGCACCGAGCTCGGAGAGCGCTTGCTGGGTGGCGGGGAGGCCGATTCGCAGGCTCGAGGCGCACGCCAGACGGTGTCCGACGCGCCTGGGCGTTCTTCGGGCCCCCCCTGACAAGAGGAGGCGTGCAGCGGAGCGCGCGGCAGCTTGGCACAAAGTCATATCCTCTCCTCCTCCGCCGCCTCCTCCTCCTCCTTCTCCTCCTCCTCCTCCTCCTCCTCTTCCTTCTCTGCCTCCTCTTCGTCCCTCGTCGTCCGCCTCCCGTGTCCGTGCACGCGTTCAGGCACCGAACTTGTTTCTTCTGGATTTGAGTGAGGTTGCAGGTCGAGTGCGGGGGTGTGGAGAGCACCTTGGTCACCTTGGGGTGTCCAGCTCAGGGCTCAACGAGGGCGGGCCCCTCCGCGACAGCAGTCGCCTGAGCCCGAGGGACGCAAGACATCGAGAGTGGCGCCAGGCTCGCGAAGGCGCTCAGGGCGGAGCTCGAGCGTTTCACCGCGGCCTCGGCCTGGACGCGCCGCGAGGGGCCGCCTCGAGGCCCGAGGGAAGCGCGCGCTGGCTGCGGCGGTTGCCCCCCCCACCCCGCTGCGCGCGCCCTGTTGGCCCCGTTGCGGCAGCCCTGGACGGTAGGGAGGCCGCCTCGCGGGCCTGAGGCGCGCGCCGAACGGAGTCTGACGAACTTGGGCATTGCGCGGGCACCCCGACATAGGAACATTTGGGGGGGGCTGCAGCGGAGCCAGAGACAGCTTTGCCACAAAACCATCACTCCTCCTCCTCCTCCTCCTCCTCCTCCTCCTCCTCCTCCTCCTCCTCCTCTTCCTCCTCCTCCTCCTCCTCCTCCTCCTCCTCCTCCTCCTCCTCCTCTCCTCCTCCTCCTCCTGTTCCTCCTCATCCTCCTCCTCTCCTCCTCCTCCTCCTCCTCCTACCTCCTCCTCCTCCACCTCATGTTCCTCCTCAGTTCCTCCTCCTGCTCCTCCTGCTCCTCCTCCCCTCCTCCTCCCCTCCTCCTCCTCCTCCTCCTCCTCCTCCTCCTCCTCCTCCTCCTCCTCCTCCTCCTCCTCCTCCTCCTCCTCCCCCTCTCCCTCATTCTCCTCCTCTTCCTCATATTCGTTCCTCGTCCTCCTCCTCCTCCTGTTCCTCCTCTCCCCGGCTCCCCGACGCTCCGCCAGGCGAGCTGCTCCTGCAGTTCGTCGCCCCCGCGGCGGCGCTTGCCCGAGCTGCGGTGGTGCCCGCCGGGCGGCCAGGCTCCGAGCGGAGGAGGGGGGAGTTGGGAGGCCGATGGTCGGAGTGGGGCCCGTCGAGACAACGGCGGCCCTCCTGGGCGGTGTGCGTCCTCTCTGGGCCGTCTCGTCGCCACGGCTGGATCAGCTTCGAAAGCCGGGCGTCAGGAGTGACCTTTGGAGGGGTCTGGGGATCGAGGTTGAGCGGAGTCGGAGCAAGCGGAAGTGGCGTTGTTGTCTCAGTTTGCCCTCTTCCGAGGAGGGGGGAGTTCTTGCGAGGTGAGGGTGGTTTGAATGTTGGGGGGCCCATCTCCGCAGTCGCCCGTCTTCTGTCGTTGACGGGATATCGGGTGAAGGCAAAGAGCGCGGAAGCATAAAAGGAGGAGGAGGAAGAAGAATACGTGGCAGTAGGTATTGCCGTCCCGAGTTGTGGAGGATTCCAGTGCGCCTTGGTGCTCGGCGCGAGCATGCCCATGGGCGGTGACGCCATCGATGCTGAGGAGCAACGTCCGAGAACGCAATGATCGGTGCTGAGTTGCAAGAAATGTCGAAATTGCCTGATTGCGCAGCGCGTCGGAAACATGTTGTGACTGGCGGGCCAGACCTCAAAGACAAAATGGTTCGTATCGCGACTGTGGCGATCCCCCGCACGTTGGTATCTGTATTGCTTGACGTTGACCGCGAAGAGACGCCGATAGCATGCGCGACGGTAGGCGGGATCTGGGCACGTGCGGTTTTTTTTCAGACGTGTCGCACACCATATCGACAGCAACGGCATCTGCCAAGCACACGTCATTGTATGGAATGGTTATCTGCCTATCCTGCTACCGTGCCTGGATTGTCGGCCAGACTTCTCAGAGATGTTTCTTGGGGTCTCTTCGGAGGCCATTCGGGAGCCTCGGGGCGCAGTGTTGAGGCCTCTTGGGGGCCTCTCGAGGGGCCTCGTAGGGCTTGCTGGCGGCCTCTTGGGGGGAATATTGGGGCCTATTGGGGGCCTCTTGGGGTCCCCTGGGGGCCTCCCGAGAGCGTCATGGGGCCGAGGGCTCGACATGTCCGTTCGGGTCCCCCGTCTGGGCCCCGTATTGGGGGCATCTTGGGCCGTTTCGGAGGCCTCTTGGGCCGCCCTGGTCCCCCTTTAGGCCATGTGGGGGCCCTCGTCGAGCCTCGTGTGGCGATCTTGGAGGTCCCTTGGGCCGCCTTGGAGCTTCGGGAAGCCGAACAGGCGAGAACGTCAAAGGGGACCTCAGTGATCCACGAACCCAGTAAGGAATGTGAGCCAGATGTTGCGACACGCGTGTTGCAGCTTCCCACTGCTGGGTTGCCACTACTACTTCTTGCTATTCATCCTCTTCCTTCCCCTCATCTTCCTCCACCGTTTCCTCCTCATCTTCATCCTCCTCCTGCTCCCCCTCCACATCAGCATCATCATCACTATCATCAGCATCATCATCATCATCATCAGCAGCATCATCATCATCAGCATCCTTATCATCAGTAGCATTACCGTTTCAATTACCATGATCCTAATCAGCATCATCATCATCATCATCCTTATCATCATCATCATCATCATCATCATCATCATCATCATCATCATCATCATCATCATCATCATCATCATCATCCGTCGCCATGTTGGCTCGAGTTCGAGACACTAGCCACACGTGCTTCGAGTTTGCTCGCAGCTGAGGGGACAGCTGGAAACCTGGGCGCAAGTGCCCTTGCTTTGCTTGCTCTACCCTTTCCGACCTGTTCGGATCCCGATCTGTTCGGGGGCGCGGTTGCTCGCAAAAGCACGGGTGCGTTGATCTTCGAGTTGGCGGCTCAGGTTGCCAAGATGAACGACTCCTTCACTTCGATCACGGCTCAGATCTCGAAGCTAGTCTCCCACGTCAATGTTTTACAAGCTGGTTTGGGCGAGCGGAAGGCGAACATTGTTAATATTGCCAAAGAGTTGGGCCTCGCTCCGTTCGCTTTCGAACAGTAGCGACTTCGGCGACAGCAGCGAAGGCGGCCACGGCAATTCAGCTACAAATTCCGTACCATTAGTCGTCCTCGTCTCGGTTACCCTTATTTATTTTCGAAGGGGATTTGTTGTCGAAGGCCATCCTTGTCGGTTACAGTGATGAGTATGCTCGCAGTGTTTTGTCCGACGCAGGAGTTGCAATTTCTCCCTCGTGCGCCACTGAGCAAGTGAAGTCGGCGATACAGGACACCCCACAGAACTTCGCGGAGAAAGTGGTTGTTGCGTTCCCTTTTCCAGAAACGGTTCCCAACATTGCCAGTTGGTGTAGGAAGAACTACCCCGACGGCCTTCGGGCACACCACCTCAGAAGGCCCCCGCGCGCTGCGTCCAAAGTCCCTTCGCAACAGCGAGACGAACAAGCAGTTGACGGTGATGGGTACGTTTCCCACCGAGCTCGGCGCGACAGTCAAGGCCGACCCCTATTTTTCGAAGTGGTTTACGGTTCGTCAGCGGGCACGGGTATTATTTTCGCATATGGTTCCGAGACAGGTGATGCAGTGAAGGTACTCAACGTCGCCAAACTTAGCTCAATTCCGGAAATGCTCGCGTTGTCTTGTACGCTTGCCATTTCGAGGCCTTCGGGCTCCGAGGCAAGCCGCAGGGGACCGTGCACAAAGTCGTGGGCCAGTTGAGTCTTTGACGACCAGGCTAATTCGCAGTATGCCCCTGCCGGGGATGCGTGGATCACACGGGACATGGTCCTTCCACTGTGTGCAGGGCGATTGCGAGAGACACAGCTAATTCTAGGGGGCGTGGGGCGTGGCTGCTCCTCGATGTCATCCGGCCAAAACCAGCAGCAGCAGCAGCAGCAGCAGCAGTAGCGTCATTAGCACCAGCTTGATCATCATCACCACCGTCACTATCACCACCATCATGCCCATCATCACACTCGCCATCCTAAGTCTCCTCGTCCCTATCATTGTCATCATGTCTCCTGTGCCCCTTTATCGCTCGTCCGCCTTCCGCCTCTGCTTCGATGCCCTTTGTCGCTCGTCCGCCTGCCTCGTCCTGCTCATACCCCTCATCGTCCTCCTGCTACTCGTCCTCCTCCCCTTCCCCCTTCTCCCTCTGTCTCTATATTTCTCTATCCCTCTCTCTCTCTCTCTCTCTTTCTCTCTCTCTCTCTCTCTCTCTCTCTCTCTCTCTCTCTCTCTCTCTATATATATGTCTTTATATTTCTCTTTCTCTCTCTCTCTCTCTCTCTCTCTGTGTTCTCTTTTTTCTCTCTCTCTCTCTCTCTCTCTCTCTCTCTCTCTCTCTCCCTTGTTCTCTCTATACATATATATAGATATGTGTGTACATATATGTATATATTTGTACACATGTATAGAGATTTCTCTCTCCCTCTCCCTCTCATTCTCTGTCTCTCAACCAATATGTACAGTGCTGTTGCTGTCTTCCTCTCTCTTTCTATTTCTCTTTCTCTCTCTATCTCTATCTCTCTCTCTCTCTCTTTCTCTCTCTCTCTCTCTCTCTCTCTCTCTCTCTACACACACACACACATATATTTATAGAGAGAGAGTTATATTTCTCTATGTTGTTTCTCTGTTTCTTTCTATCTCTTTCTTTCTCTCTCTCTCTCTCTCTCTTGTTTATGGCGTTCTTTCTCCCCTTTCCCCCTTTCTCAATTTCCCCACCTCCCCCCCTGGCGGCCGTGAACACATGAAAGCACGTGCCCCGCACGCGCGCGCCAGGCGCATGTTGGGTCCTCCCCCTCCGCGCACGCATTGTTACATGTAGGGGATCCGCCGACTAGGCGTTGGGTCCCCCCCCCCGGGGGCCCACGCCCACGCGCCATGCGCATGTTGGGCCCCCCCCTCTGGGCACGCATTCTTACTTGTGCAGAATCCGCCGACCGGGAGTTGGGACCCCCCTTGGGGGGCCCGCTGTGGCGCGAAACATGCGAAAACATGTTCCAAGCGCACGCACGCCGAGACGCATGTTGGAGGCCCCCCTCCCACAAATGCCCACGTCTTCTGCTCAACACCCTTGTGGTGCAGGGCCAAGCCAGCCAACACAAAGAGAACCCGCGGCCAGAGCCCTCACCGCCAGAAAAATTATAATTTTGGCATCTCGGGGCCCTGGTGGGGTGCTTTTGGCGGCCTTTTGGGGCGTTTTGGATGGTTTCTTTTTCTGACGACTGGGACCATTTTGAGCTGGACCGAGAGTTCGGCGATTCGGGGGCCTCTTGGACAATCTCGGGTGACTCTTGGGACCTCTTGGCCCATCTTGGGGCCTTCTAGGTTGCGAAAAGCCAGGCGAGAAGACGCAGGGAACCGCGAAGGGAAGCCCCGAGAGGTTTGATAATTTGAAGTCAAGGCAAAGCTTTTGAAAGATTCCATAGGATTGGGGAATAGGGCTAAAGGGATTAGGCCAAGGACCTGGGAACACTCCAACTCGTGCTTCAGGGTACGGTGGCGGATTTTGATTTCTCCCCCAAGAGTCTGGCGCTGAATCCGTTACTTGACGTTCGAAGGGCCCGGACGGCATTGTCCCGATGAAGTAAATTTGGGTTTGGGACGCCAACAGTTCTTATGTGACAGGCACTGGTTCCGCAGGATGGTTTGCACGGAGACGGGGGCCTGCGCGTCGATCAAAGTAGCATCGGTGTCATGCGCGAGCCGCGATGACGGAGTATCCAGGCAGCGTGGTATAACTCGGCAGCTCCCGTTAACGCTGATGTATCCGCAAACAATATATGTTTAGAGTGATTGGTACGTATTTTGTCTAGGACGGAGTTGGTGTCTAGATTCATGGTCTTGTTGGCATGCGGCCGCTGCGGTAAAAGGTCCAGTCATTGAGCACAGATGGCGATTCGGTTCCGCAGGTCCTCCACATATTCATCACCATAATATGGTGCCAGATACTCGAATCGGGACCTATACAGAGCACGGCGTAGAATTCTTGGTAACAATATTATCGGATATTGTTTGGCTCAGCTTTGACACATTCGGACCCGGACTTCGATCTCCGCAATTGGGAACACCTTTTTCCGGAAGTTTCGCACCGTTTGGAGTCGTGGGGCGGTGCCAGTTTGGACGGCATTTGGCCCATGGTTTTCTTGATGCGTGACAGGGAGCTGCATATTTCTCATGGATTAGGTTGTACGGTAATGTGGTTAGATAAGCAGCCGATACAGCAACACCGTAATTTCGCATCACGCTTGTTGGTAATGATGTACCAGAAACGAGCAGACGTGTCTTCCAGCGTGGACCCAATTCTCGATGGTGTGCAGCATGTGTGGCGCAATACGTGCAATGTGTTTGATTTTACCTTCGTGTTGCAACCTGTGTTGCCAAATATGTGCGATGTGGTTTGAGGGAGCTCAGGGGATGCGCTAAGGGGATGCGCAATCTATGGAATGCACAATTACTGCGGCGCAATATTTGCGATGCAATCTATGTGGTGCAATATGTGTACGGCGCAGCCTTTGTGGGACAACATGTGTGGCACAATCTATGTTGTCCAAACAATGTGCTGCGGTATGCGTGGTTCAAACTACGGGGTG